AAAAACCTGTTTGAATCCTGCCTCAGACACTTGCTAATTGTGTGACCCTAAGCAAATCCCTTAACAGAAATCACTTAAGTGCTGTCTGCCTCAGTTTCCACATCTGTAAAATGGGGATCATAATAGCACCTACCTACCAGGGTTGTCGTGGGGATAAGATTAGATTTTAAACCTTAAAGTGCTGTATAAATGCTATTATTATATAATCATTATATATTTAATTATTATACTTATTATTAGTTTGGGAGATATAGAAATCCCATTGGTGATTGGAACTGGTAGCAGAGTCAACCAGAGTTGACAACAATAGCCACCAGAGGGAAGTGATTGAGAAGCAAACTTGAGATGGACATGCCTATACAACAACTTTATAAACATTGCAAAGTCTGCAGAGATTGTAGAATGGCAGTTTAGTAGCTTAGCTTAGCAGTGGCCAAGCCCAGCGCAGCAGCGAGGTGAGCTTAATTCAGCCTCCCAGTGGGATTGACCAGCTTAGGAGAAGCCATGCCATGGGAGGAACAGCCCTGCTGAGCTGCTCATGCAGCCGAGATGCTGTGCTCTGCAAGGAGCCTCCCCAGCTGGACAATGGAACAACTTACCCATCGCCAGTGCAACTTCCCTAGCAAACTCCATGAGAAATCCACGAAGAAAGAAAAGGGCCTTTAGGACCAGAAGCACCCTTAGTGCCAGATGCCCCTTGGCCATGCAGAGTTTCTGCAGATATGCCCCGATGATATTGTATTTTAAATTTGAGGCTATTCCCCGCTCCCCCCCCCCAGACAGGAGTTGTGTTTTATGGGGAGAGTGAGTTCTAGGACTGGGGGAGGAATGTTTTATACAACTGTTCTTACTATTTCTTCTTAGTGAATCTAAGTGAATCTTTTCTAACAAGCATTAGTGTTTAGAACTCCTAATGGAGTTCAACTGGTTGATTGATAACAGGAAGTATATTTGTGGACTCATGAATGATGGTACTCCCAACCCAGACCCTCAGAGTTACCCCTACAACCAGGATGAGAGAAGCAGCAAGCCTCCCTCAGTGGACCTGGCTAGACAATGTGAGTGGGATTGGGCAAGCGGCCCCAGAGGGGATGTTATACAGGTAGCATCAAAGATACATCTAAGTTTTATTTGATTACATTAATAAATTAGCGCTCAGCCTTTATAGTTCATTGCTTGTCTACTCAGGCAAGATGCTCTGCTGGCAATCTAAAAATGTTAGAACATCACTGTGGAGACTTTTATTTGAATCTAAGGTAGGACTTTCCTGTTTCCATATTACTTCGATATTTAGTGCTCTAAATAGATTGGTATTCAGATACATACATTTTCTGATGGAAAAAGATTGGAAAAAACTTGTGGCGCAGATCCATCTTCTTCTAACTTTGTGATCAGCCAGTCTCGGAACCTTCAGGTGCTCTGGGAAGATTAGGGTAAGTGGCCCTAGAGAAATTACGCAGCACATTGGATGTTAAACATCATGCGCTATAATGATTGCCATCTGAGGTTAGAGCTACTGTCGGGTGAGTTTGAAGGGGTTTATACAAGAGCTTTGACCCCCCCAGTGACCAAGTCTCTCCTCACTTAGCAAAGCTTAAGTGAGAAGGATGATTTGTCCTGAGGGATTAGACATGATGCTGGTAACCAGGCTGGCTTGAAATTCTCCAATTAAAGGCACTGTTCCCCAGAGGTCTAATTCATTGAATGGAGGCTGGATAGGGAGAGATAGAGTGAGTGAGTGAGTGAGTGAGTGAGTGAGTGAGTGTGTGTGTCTGTGTGTGTGTGTTTAGCTAACAGTAATGTGTTTCCCTTTATATACAAAGAGTAACTAGTTATTGACTTATTGAGGCATGACTTAACAGTGTGCATGTTTTGAGGTACTTTTTTTCCAGGAGTGTCAAAACATGGAGGTCTTTAATGACCATTTTAGCTCCTTTTTCTAAAAGATGGAAAGAATCTTAGCCACTCAAATAATAGCTGATGATGATGCTGACAATGCAAACTGGCTTTGAATTCCAAAGATCACACTGAGGTGTTACAATCTACCCAGCCCTGAAACCCCTTTCAAACAAAATACACTTTTCTCACTGGGGATAAAGTCTACATCCCTGAGATAGATTTTTTTTTCATTCTGGCAATCTAACTGATCTGCTCTAAACAATTGAGCCAATCAACCTGGGCATAAGCTAAGATGAGGAGAAATGAAAAATGTCATGAAGTTCTGTCCAGCCTTGTCCTTGGGTGTGCTACCTCTCCAAGAAGAGTGGTGCACATCTGGTTAACAGAATGGGACACTATCATAGTTCTGAAAAGCTCCTGTTTTTAAAAATCTAGAACACTATAATCTCCAAACAGCAAGGCTGAAAACATCCTGTTTATAGGAATCTGTGGTGTTTTAGCTCTTTGTGGAAGTAAAGAGCACTGGGAGACACACAGATATGCATGGGTATTCCCAGAAATTTGTGACAGGAATAAATGACTGAGTAGGTTTCAAACATGTCTTTAGAAACCAGAGATACCATGGTACAGTGGATTGTGTTGTGGGTTTAGAGTCCAGGAAGACTATGACCATATCACTCTGAATGTGCCTGCTGTCATCTAATCTTGGAAGCTGAGCAGGAGTGAGCATCAGCAGATGCGTATGGAGGCTACCTAGGCATATCAGGAGGCTTTTTTTTTTTGAAGTGGCAGCATGATATTATGGAATGAGCACTGACTTTGGAATATGCAGATATAGGTTCAAATTTGGGAAGGGCCACTTCTACCTGTACAACCTTGGACAAGTCATTTAACTTCCTTGTGCCTAAGTTTTCTCATCTGTAAAATGAGGTTTGACTAGATGACTTCTGGGGTACCTTCCAGCCCTAAACCTATGATCCTATAATGACTATGTTCAAATCTTGCTTCTGACACTATCTCTGTGATGCTGATAAGTCATCCTTCTGAGCCTCAGGCAATTAGTTCCCTAAGATTTCTATACTCAGTTATAGATGGATGATTCTTTGCTTCAATAAGCCTTCACTTACTTCCTGAGGTTATTCTACTGTTGACCTAAAATTCTTTACAATCACTTAATTTCTCTGTTTGTAAAATGGAGGGTTGGACCAGAGGGTCTCTAGGGTTCTAGTTCAAATGTTCTATGACTCATTAAGTTTAATTTAAAATTTAATTTAAGAGGATGACCTAGTCAGACCCCCAACTTTCCACATGAAAATTGTTTGCTTAGAGCCTGGAAATGAGGAAAGGGTTATTAGAAAAGCCCACAGGCTACAAAGCTCCCACTTTTCTTAAACAGGAAGCAGAGTTGGCAAAATTGCTAAGCATCTTCTGAGCACCACAATGTTGCCACAGTGCAATGCATAGGAAAACTCATAGCGGTGTAAGGAACACCTCACTTTCTTTTGCAGCTAATTCCGTTGCCCAGAACTGAGAAAAAGGCCAAGCCAGAAGTATAGTAAAAGTAATGGCCCAATCTGGACTTGAATCCTCACTCTGCCAGTTTACACCTGTATGACCCTAAGCAAATCATCAGACCTCTCTGGGCTTCCATTTCCTGACCTCTAAAATGGACAAAAGGTGGGGAGGGGAAGAGAGTGGACCAGAGGACCTCTAAGGTCCAGTCCTAACTCTCTGATCTTCTGATCTTGTGTTCTTCCACTGTCTTTATGCTGGATGTATTTGTCTGTGGATAACAGGAGTATAATCTCCTTTGAAACAGTGACAAAGAGTTGAACCTCTTATGTCATAGCCCATACTCACTACCAGCTGTTTTCCTATAAAGAAGGGCATTCCTTGGTTAATCAAAACTGGGTGACCTCAGCTGGCCCTAAAATATTTTTTAAATGGTTACCTCCCAAATCTTGTATATTCAAATAAGAATTTGAAAAGAAAAAAGGAAATTGCCTAAAATTATAATTTAAAGAAAAACTTCACAGTCCTTGGCACTTATAAAGCCCTTAAGTGCTTTTTCCTTCATTCAATTGCATTTCCCTTAGTAATCATTTTAACTCTTCTTTATAAGACATGGGAAGAATCAGAGTTACTCAACCAATATCTATTGGTTGATGACTTTGACAAGGGACACAATAATGCTTTACTATTTAGTTTTAAAATATTCAATTCTGGATATGACTGCCTGACACCTGTAGGATGCATTTGAACATCTGAAGGAATTCTAAAAAGAAATATTTTTGAAAAGCTAATGAGTGCCATTTGTTTGAAAACAATGGAATATATATGTGTGTGTGTGTATACACACACACACACACACACACACACACACACACAGATTATATATTTTCAAGACTGGCTTATTTGGATGTAAGCATCTCTTAAATTTAGTGCTTTCAAAAAGTGAAATTCTTACAGCTGTATCATTTATAGAATGATAATAAATGGATACTGCAATTTTAGTGAATAACTACATAGATGGAAATATTACAGATCTGGATGTTTCTGTATCCCCTCACTGATGTATTTTATTGGCCATGTTTTGATATGTGTGGAGTTATCTCTAGGCCAATGTGTGTGGGCCAATCTCTGAGAAATCCAGATATTTTCCTAAGTGTGTGCATGTGAGTATTAAAGGAGTGGAATTTGAAGATAAAATAAACCTCATAAGAAAGCTTTTTTACTCCATCTTCCAGCTTCACCAACCAAACATTGGCAGAATCAGCCTTAATCACATTTGTCTTAGGTATTATGGGCAATCCATTCCTCTAGGGTCAGCCAGATGAATTTTTATTTTCCTTCCAGGCCTTTATTTTTTAAAAAGTAAAATATAGCAATATGACTAATGGGGGAAAAAAAGGCTAGACCAGAGTCAGAAAAATTGGTTTCTAGGTATGTCATCTGTATGTCATTGGGGAAATTACTCCATCTTTCTGGACCTTGGTTTCCTCATCTTCCTAAAATTAGGGGTTGAACTAAGTTGATCTCCCAAGCCCCTTCCCAGCTCTGCCACTTCATGATTCTCTGAGATAAACAAAAAGGTACGCATATATTTCTGGAGGAAAATGTCTGTATTAAAAGCCAAGAAACACAGAACTACAAGAAGAAATACACAAGAGAAGGCTTCATTAGGTAAATCGACTTGAAAGAAGATTCATTAAAGTCCAGTATCCTCAGTAACAATATATCAATTTTAAATCCAGCTTGCAACCTCTCCCCCCCCCTTTGTAAATTAAAAAACAAAACAAAAACCCAAACACTGCAAATACATCTGTGGGCATATACAAAGAGCTACTCTTACTACAATGACTGCAGTTTGGCCTGTGTGTGTGTGTGTGTTTTACTAAAATGTTTCTTTGAAAGTTATTAAATATATAAAACAAATACACAGGATTTGGTCATTTTTCTGCTATGAATGTTGGGTGCATGGGGATGGGGTGGGGAGGGGAGGAGGGTATGCATTGCTTGGGAAACCTAAGGAAGGAATCGTGAAAGATGCCCAGTACCATCCCTATCCCCCTTTACAGGTGCTTTTCATGTCGCTTTGCTCCGTGAACTTGAATTAGGCTTGCAAACGTTTAGGATGTGGCCCCGAGCGTTTCTTTAGCATTAGCCACGGCCGTCGGCCGTCTCTTGCCCACCACCCCCCACTCCCCCCCCAAAAGAAGAACAATTAATGGTAGCTACAGCACGAATAAAACCTGTCGAGTATACCACCGGGTGAGTCACCCAAGAGACAACAAACACAGAGTCAAAGGAGAAGAGGAAGGAGGAGGAGGGAGGAGGGAGAGGAGGAGGGAGAGGGAGGAGGAGGAGGAAGAGGAGGAGGAGGAGGACGAAGAAGAGCTGGGAGGAGAGGAGCCGCAGCCCCGCCACGCTGGAAGTGGGAAGGCAAGGGTCCCGAGAGGTGGCGGGGAGTCGCGGCTGGGGAGATTCGGGGAAGTCGCGGGGGGTGGACCCCGGTGGGCTACTTGGCCCCGGTGCCCGATGTGACGGCAGCGGCTGCCGCGGCGGCGGCGGCGGCGGCGGCCGCAGCGGTTCCAGATGTGACGGCCGCCGCTGCCGCTGCCGCGGAGGAGGAGGAGGAGGAGGGGGCGGCCCCGCCCCCGCCGGCCCCGCTCCCGCCGCCGCCGCCGGTCCCTCCGCTGCCGCCGCCGCCACCGCCGCCGCCGCCGCCGCCGCCACTGCTGGCGGCGGTCCTCCGCTGCTCCATGCCGTTGGGGAGGAAGCCGGCGATGATGGGCACCGGCCAGATGAGGGCGGCCACGCTCCACACTATGATGACCAGGGTCATGAAGCAGGCCACCAGCGTGGACTCGATGGGCTTGCGGTTCAGCCGCCAGCCGGGCTCGCCCTTGAGCTCCTCGAGGCTGAAATCCAGGCAGCAGAAATTCAGCGGCTCCCCCTGCCACCAGAGCTGGCCCGGCTCGGCCGCGGGGTAGGAGGGCAGCGATGCAGAAGCTGCAGCAGCAGCCGAAGAAGCGGCGGCGGCGGCGGATGCGGAGGAGGAGGCGGAGGCCGAGGCCGGGCCGGGACCGGGGCCGGGGCCGGGGCTGGTGGCCGCCGCAGCGGCAGCCGCCGCCGCCGCCGCCGCCGCAGCCGCGGCAGCGGCAGCCGCAGCCCCCCCCCGCAGGCGGCCCAGCCGGCGACCCCGGACCCAGCCGCAGCCCACACAGAGGCGCAGGTCCTGCTGGGCACCCCCGGCCGCCAGCCCCAGGTGTTCGATGAGGAGTGGCGGGCCCACCCGGTGGAAGGCGGCCGAGAAGAAGGCGCGGCCGTGGCCGTTGGTGGAGAAGAGCAGCAGGTCGCACTGGATGCCCAGGGGCCGGCTCCAGCGGACCAGCAGGGAGCTCAACATCTGACGCTGCACACTGATGTTGCAGTGCGCCTCCTCGTGCTGATGCTGCTGCTGCGGCTGCTGCTGCTCCTGCTGAGGCGCCTGCTGCTGCTCGTCGTCGTGGTGCCCACCGCCCCACTCCGCCGCCTCCGGACCCCTCTGCTGCTCCTGGTGCGCCGGGGCGCGGGCGACGGCGGGCAGGGGCGAGGCGGCGGCAGGCCGGGTCGAGGAGTCATCCGGGGAGGCTCCCGAGGAGGTGGCCGAGGAGGCAGCTGGGGAAGCGGTCGAGTTGGGGTCCGACGACGGGGCCGCGTGGCTTCTCTCCGCGGCTTCTTGGCCACCTGGGTCTCCCGGTTCTCCCGGGTCTTCCGCGTCCTCGTCAACCTGGGGCGCCTCCAGGTCAAGCTCCATGGCCCTGGAGGTGGTTTTGGAATCGGAGGGCGACGGCGAGGAGGAGGCGTTGAGTGGAGGCAGGAAGAGGCCCGCTTCGTCCTGCCCCCCAGCGGCAGAGGTCCAGCCCCGGACCGGCAGCAGCAAGAAGGCTGCGACCAGCAGCAGCCTCCGGAGCAGCAGCAGCATGAGACTGACTTAGCACCTCGAAGGGGCAGGAGGAGGAGGAGAAGAAGGATGCATGGCGCGGGTGGCCACCGCTGGGACGAGGGGCGGCGGTCGGGGAGATCCCTGCCCGCCGTAGAGAAGCCCAAGGAGCAGGTGGAGGTGGAGAAGAAGAAGGAGGAGGAGGAAGACGAGAAGCCCAAGGAGCAGGTGGAGGTGGAGGAGAAGGAAGGCGAGGAAGAAGAGGAGGAGGAGGAGGAGAGCCTCGGGCACGGGCACAGAGGCGACCACGGCCGCTAGTCTGGCTGCAGCAACTGCTGGTGAGAGATGCAATGAGGGGAGAGCTCGGAGCCTAGTTTAGGTGCCAGGAGGAGAAAGCGGAGGAGGAGGAAGAGGAGGAGTAGGGGGAGGTGGTGGTGGTGGTGGTGGAGGAGGAGGAGGAGGAGGGGAGGAGGGGAAAGTGTGACAGCAGCAGCGACGGCGGCGGCTCCGTGCTGCTTTTCCCTCCTCCTCTCCAGCCCGGGGAGAGGCTGCGGCTGGCTCAGACGTGTTAGTGGGGGAATTCTCCCCACGGGGAGGGGAGGGGACGGCAGGAGAAGGGAGTGGACGGGAGGGGAGGGGATGGGTCTGGAGTTCGTAGCGAGGCGCTGGGGCTGGGAGACAGGGAGAGCCCTGTCACAGCTGCGCGCAGCGCAGCTCTTCCCCCCTAACCCCCACCCCCTCCACTTCTCCCGCCTCCGCTACCTTTTTCCCAAACCTGAGCCCCGCCCCTGCTCCCCTTCCCTTTCTTTCCCTGCACCTGCAAACTCAGGAGGGTCTTGGCTTCCAAGCATTGGGAAAAGTTAGACCGCCAAACCTTTCCTCCACGCCACCCTTCCCCCACTGCTTGTGGCTTTTGTGGTCACAAAACTCGGAGGTAGTAAAGCAAGTTTGGATGAGATTCGCTGATGGTTGGGGCTGGGCTGGGGCTTCCCCTACTTCATCCTACGTCCCGCCCCACCTCTTCCACACCTCACCGTCCATTTCAATCATCCATTCCCTATCTCCGTGAGCGGCAGCCTCCTAAGACAGTATCTCCTCACTTGCTTCGAGGCTGGGATCTACTGAAAGGTGTGATGACTTAGGAAACGCCCTTGGAACGCTACATTTATGTTAGCTGTCTAGTCTGGGTGATTATGGTTTCCATTCCTCAGGCTGTATCTGCCCCTAGTCCGGAAAGGGCTAATAAGTGTCAGAGTTGAGACTAAAGCCCAGGTGATCTAATTCCCAGGCGAGTGCCCTTCCTAATACAACCAAACTTTTTTAAAAATCTGCAAAGGAATAGGTAACATCCCCCACCCCCCAAACGAGTCTTCAGGAGTTTTACATAGTTAAGAAATTTCACAGCTTGCATTTCTCACAAGCTGAAGCAGTGTGCTAAGTGACAAACTCACAGTCACTGAAGGAACTACTTTGGGGACTGAGGTGGAGGCCTGACGGTAGAATGGGCACCCTGGATGGTGCTTGGAACCCTACTGGCACAAGAAAAGGAAATTCCTCTAGATTGGACATTCCCCTTCTAGCAGTCCCCTGTTTACTCTCACTTTTCAGCCAATTCCTGGAAGGGCAACTGGTTGTATTTTCATGAATGATTCATATCGAGTCCTCTGCAGGAGGACAATTAATCCCAAGGTAAGAAATTAAAGTGTGGAAATGGATGCCAGAGCTGCCACCTGAATTATATTAACATTAGACTTATATTAAAGAAAAAAGAAAAAACTTTTCGACTTTGAATGAAATATATCCGTTTATAGCGCCTTCAGGGCGCTGTCCTTGGTCCTAGGGTTTGGCATTTATCCTCCCTGCTATCTTCTCACCTGAGAAAGGGAAAAGTCAGAGGAAAGTAAGGGGAGGCAGAAGTCAAAGCAACCTATAAAATGATTCTCTCCGAAAAGGTCCTAAAACAAACAAATAAACAAACAACATCATAAGTCAGCTGCCCTAGTGTGGCACTTTACAACCAAGAGGGATTGTTTTAACCTGTAGTGGTCATGGGTTAAATACTGTTGTTTCACCAAATCATTAGCACAGTCCTGCCAGGAAGCAGCGTAAGAGACAAAACCATGAATATTCTTGATTTTTAGCTATTTTTTTCTCCTTTAAGCACCTCAATTTCACTCACTGAATATATTGGCTGGCGTGATTTAATACTTTACTCAGATCCAAATGGTTTGACTGATGAACAAAACAACTTCATTTTTGTCTGCACTTTCAAGAAGGACTGAGACAACAGGAAAGCTTGCATTTTACAATGTCACCTGTGCCTTGGCAGCTGGCATCCTTAGAGTTTCCAAAAGCTGGAGAGCTTGAGGTAGGGACAAGGTGCAATGTGGGGAAAGGACATCAGAAAGTAGGGAGGGGAAAGAAAAACACTTCCTTTTGAAAACCCAAAGTGTATCTTAAGCAAGTTGATATCACTAAATTTGTGTGTCAAAGTAATCATTAAGAAAATTTTGGAAGGTGCAGCCAACTCACTATTATTCGGAGTTTGATTATGTGATTTGTGGATTATTCAGTCAGTGGGTTTTTAACCTGGGAGCTGTGGCTAGATTTTGGAGGTCTTTGAACATGGGAGGAAAACACATTCTTATTTCCCCAGCCTCAAATTGAAATCTGGTATTTTCTTAAATTATTTAAAAACAGAATTCTGAGAAGGGGGTCCATGTCTAGTCTTCAGCAGCCTGCCTGTGGGGTTCATGGCAAACAAAAGATCAGTCCCTCAGTGTCTCCCAGAGTATGTTGCCTGTCTTGGTGACGTTTTAGCACTTCTTACTAGTGATATAAATTAACCAATTGTAATTTATTACTTTGGGCAGCCATGGAAAAATTTTGAACACTGGAATTAGTGGCTATAATGATTTCAGATTTCAGTCAGGTAATCCTGACCTCAGTCAGCACTAATAGTCAAAAATTGACTGCAGTTCATTTAGTATGCCGGATTTTGAAGATAAAGAAAATCAATGCTGGTTCTTTTAAATTGTGTGTGGGGGGGGAGTGTTCGGGGGGGGGGTGGATTTTAGTCTGGACCTATGATTTCACAGGCACAGGGAAGCTCTAGTGGTGAAATATCCTCTATCAATGCAGATCAGAAGCTGGTCAGCAATTCAGCATCTTAAAGAGTTGCTTGGGAGGTTAAATGACTTGTGGCCAAGACAAGACTTTAACTCAGGTCTTCCTATATCTGAGATTGCCCCTCTTGTCCTATTTAATGTTGTGTTTAACAAGTGTGTCCAATTTCTTTTGGAAGTGTGGGGGACATAAATCCTAGATAAATTAAGCAAATCTTAGAACAATGGATTATTAGCGATAGAAGGGACCTTAGTCAAATCTCTTTGGAACTGAAGCCCAGAAAAGTTAGGTTGATTTGACCAAAGCCACATAGTTATTGGTAGAGCCAGGGATTAAACTGAGATCTCCTAACTTTAGGCCAGTGTGCTTCCAGTGTAAATTCTCCCACTACTCTGAAGAGCCAAGCAGCTATCTTTATACTCTAAAACTCCAGGATTCAGTTCATTTTAATAAGCCTTTGTTAAACACTTATTACATGAAAGGCACTGCACTAGGAGCTGGGGATACAAAATCAAAACTGAAACAGACAGACTCTGCCTTGAAATAGTTTACATTCAATGAGATGATGCAACATATACACAGAAACGTAAATAGAAAGCATATGCCAGGTGATTTAGCTCCAGTGGCAAAGAGTGCTAGTACTGTGACCCATGGGGATCCAAAAAGGAGGGGGAAAATCTGTGTTGGGCTTTGAAAGAAGCTAGGAATTCTGCAATTGGAGGTAAGGGGCACATGAGTTCCAGACATGGGAGGGAGGGGTAGCATTTGTGCAGAGAGTAGGACTAGAGGAGCAAAGAGCTTTTAGGCCAGTTTTATTGGAATGGAGAGTGCAGGAGAAGGAATCCTATGAAGTAAGACAGGAAAGGTAGATAGGAGTCAGACTTCCAAGGACTCTAAATGCCGGGCTGAGGATTTTCTAAAACAAATTATCTTAGAGGCAACAGAGAGCCACTGATGCTGTGTGTGTGTATGTGTGTGTGTGAGTGGGTGGGGTGTATATAGATGGATGGGTGGAAGGGGGGTGATTCTATGATTCGGGGAAATGAGGATGATAGAATGAAAGATTTAGACAAATCTCTGAATAAATCTCTGAGTTTACTAGGTCCATAGGAACCTAGGAAAATCCCTATAAATTAGGACCAAATATCCTATACAGACAGAATGTGTATTCCTTTTGGTAGAAAACCAGTAGTTGAAAGATTCAAAGCAACTAATATAACTACACAATAATGGCCTGCTTTTCTCCATTTCTAAAGCTCTTTACAAATATTATGTTCTTGTATCTTCACAAACCTTAGTGAAATAATAACAATATCTTGAGATTTTTTTAATTCATTGCATCCAAAGAGTTTAAAGTGTCTCCAGTGCATTAATTCATTAGTATATTAGTGATCTAGGTAGGATTAAGATATTTTTTATCATACATCAGAGAGAGAGAGAGAGAGAGAGAGAGAGAGAGAAGAGATATTGAGAGAGAGAAGAGATATTGAGAGAGAGAGGGAGATCATAAAATGAGAACATGGTAATTAAGTGAGAGTTAGAAGCCATTGATAACAAGATCTATCCATCTGGTGAACGTGCCTAGCCTTGTTGATGTGGTGGCTTCCTTGCTTTTCTTACTCTCTTCTCTAGGCTCCCTTGGAGGGTATGTTAGTGGTGAAAGGCAGAAGAAGAAAACTGGGAGGGAGATGCAGCATTTGAGCTTTACCCTGAGTGCTCAGATAGTGTTTAAGTTCTCTACTAATTATTTCAGCTTTCCAGTTTTCAATGTTAAGGTCTACAGAAAGGTTTCATCTGGATGGGTGGCTACCTTCACCAGCTGCCGAATGATAGCTTTGTATGCCTTAGTAGGCTGCCTTCATGAGTTTCTGTGACCGAAAAATAATCAGGTCTTGGTGGTCAGTCCTCTAGTGGTGAGCAGCTAGGCTGATCCTTGGATGATGGGCATATGAGTCTGTTGGCACACCTGGACTAAAGCCTTTCTGGTTTGGAAGGACCTTCTACATCACTTCTTGAC